TGGGATTATCGGCCAGAAAGAAAATATTCAGACAGTCGGCTGATATGTCAACAATGACACTCCAGGATTACTGTACCCGAGATCGGTGAGCAAGAAGTTCGCAATACCAGAATTCTCACTCTGCGGCAACTGCCGGTTTCTCGAAAAAAGGAATTTATTATTGCAGTTCCTAATATAAGACCTTTATCTCACTTTCTCACACCCTCATTCAATCCTCAAGCTTAATGCATCACATTCTCCTTTAATCTAGCCAGACGGGGCATTCTTCATATTTTTCATGAAAAATAAGCGCTCCAACTAAATCCATTTGAGCGGTTACAGAAGCGAAAAAAGGTTAAACAGGTGACGAATACAGATTATGCAGCCACAGTGATATGATACAGTCGTTATCTGTCATCCCCATCAAGCAAATAACCACTGGCTATAGTTTACTTCATAGGGTTGACGGTAGAATGGTCAACTTCAAATGACGATGCAGAAGTTTTTTCAGAGAAAAAATAGCCAACTGGAGCTCATTAGAGAGAATTGATAACTCAGTTTTTCATTTGGTTACGTGATTTTGAACAACGCTATTTTCCTACCTTTTTTACGTATTACTTCATGGAACGTTTTCAAGATATTTGTCTTTCAGTTCAGTAGTGACCTCTCAAATCCGCCTCGTGACGGGATTCTATTCGAATATCTCCGATTGCCATTGTCACGCTTTCCAAGTCATCCACCCGGAACGCCTTACACGAACACGATAATTCTAACACGTTACATGACTCCGAAATTTGATGTGTTTTTTCAGAGATGCTTGTTGCACCACAAGGAGTTCGTTCTTTTAATGCTGACAAAAATTCCGAAATACGTATGACATGCAATCCTCATCGACGTCTTCGACAGCCCTTCTCTATGCGCAAAATCAGTAGTCCTAACCTGATGTCCGACTAGCAGTTGAGTACTGTTGATACGACGACTGACTATGTGATGAAATCTCTCGGTCAAAATGCTATCATTAAGATAGATGATGTTGAAAATAGGTTCACACTGAATGTTTGCACAACAAAAAGCAACCGAAAACGGTGAAGTTATGGTTGACTATTTTTTTGAAAGCTAAGATTATAGCACCCAATTTCCGGAGAGTACTGTTGATACGACGACTGACTATGTGATGAAATCTCTCGGTCAAAATGCTATCATTAAGATAGATGATGTTGAAAATAGGTTCACACTGAATGTTTGCACAACAAAAAGCAACCGAAAACGGTGAAGTTATGGTTGACTATTTTTTTGAAAGCTAAGGATTATAACACCCAATTTCCGGATTATTCAGAAGAGTCGGTTTCCAAAAATAGATAGAGACAAGCACTTATAAAACACTTCTGCTAAAAGAATGTTCTTTATTTTGTCGTACTTGGTAATTGTAAAATGGTCTCATTTATTTGCGTTTTATGATAAGATATTCTAATCGTGTTGCTGATTGGTACAGAGTGTTTTCAACCATTCGGAATCCAGACTACCAGGAGCTAAATTGTCGGCACTTTTTCCTTTTGACCGTTAATTTTTACATTCCCTGCGGCTTCCTCGTCTGATGAACAGTATGGCAAACATTGACACACACCACGATCAAGCAACTGCTTTATGCCCGGCGTGATGACTAAATCAACCAAAGAATCTTTCTTGTCCCCCATTCCATGCTTGCATACAAATAATTAACCGCTGCCTGCAGATTAGGCAACAAAGCAATTCACGACGATTTGGTCATGACTATAAGCGTAGACCGCTTGCTAAGACTACACACAGGTCCCTCTAACACGAAGGCAAATTGCATGTTTCAACACAATTGGAACATTACCTGAACTCTTTGCTTTGAAATACATACGAATGTGGGTCTAGTGTGTCTCGACAGAACACTCCAATGGTGTGGACAGTATTTGATAGATCTATCCGCACAGTTCATCGGAGTTGTAACGTATCTGATCGGTAGAGGTACCTGTGTTCGCCACAAAAACAGCGTGCAAAGCCAGCCACGAGAAACTTCTCTTTTTTTCCCATTCTTCAAATCCGGGAATACAGGCCATATACGACGACTAACTATTGATCCCAAAACAATAACGCATAGGGACACCGATGAGTGAGTGGAGTTCATTGAGTCCCTTGGTATGTGGGATCAGTTTTGAGTTAACCAACCTTGATAAATGTGCCTTTGGAGTATGCCGTTTTATCGTTTTATCTCCTCTCAAATAAATCAACGGTGATGTTTCACCGTCACCTTCAAAGATTCTGAATTCGACTTTGATTTCTCACTAGTTTTTGACCGCAGGGACTTTGCGGCAAATAGCGAGTAAAGACACTCAGAAATTGTCACATCTTTCAGTTGCTTTGTCTTAAAACTGCCATAAGTTCCCGTGGGAACGGCGCGGACATTTTGCGTGGGCAGCGGTTCTGAAACGTATGAAGTGTGTTCAACATGAGAAAATTTGGTCGATAAACAGCGATAGCTTGGGCGGCCATGTTCTTCGAATAATGTCATTCGAGTGGAAGCTGGTAGCTAGTGTCATTTTCCGGTGCTCAAGTGCTTCTCCGAGGTCTGTCAGTTTGTCCATCATGAAGTGCAGAAAGCCGAGAAAAATAATTCGGCCTCATTTTTTGGTTAGTCCAAGATAGGCTGATATTCCGGCAATAAGGAACTGAAACGGGGACAGTAAGTCGGACATAGCACTTTGGATGGATCAATCCCAAAAAAGAGCACTGGTGTAATTCCCAGGTTATCACGTTCTTAGTAGTAATTCAACCACACAGAAAGGAACAAGTTGTTTATCAAAGTCTGGTGTACGTAGACAACTATTACCACCCGACTAGGGATTGGGCGCAGGCTAGTGATGAAACCGAACCAAACGTCCGCTTGTTTACGAGACAATTAATAGTGGTCCCAGTCATTGTCACCACTGTTCTTCTTTGCCACACCGCAGTTAGTCAGCTGATTTCGATAAATTCGCAATCACGGATATGCGCGGAGACCTGCAGTAGATTGGTCCCTAGTCCTACCTCCACTTACGCCGTAAATATCGCGCACGGTAGGGTTTTCTTCTCACTTATCCGTCGCAGGTGATCGAGACCAATTGGGCCAGCATATAAGTAGATGGAAGAAACAAAATTTTGAAGTGCGATTCAAGGAGCTAGTTTACGCCATGGGGGTTGGAAGCAGGTTGAACTTTGAACTGAAAATCAGACTGAATAAGTTGTGTGAAGTTTTGTCGTCATTTCAGTCAAATCAAACATGCATTACTCTTCGGTTTTTCTATAGCCCATTTTCAATTCCAGTTGCTCCTTTCATTTGGCTGCTTGCCCATTAGAGTTACGCTGCACGTCCGACCTGGAAATAGTGTACTTCTAAAACAGTCTGGCAGCATGTTGATTGCGGTTTTTAGCCAAAGGGTAAGCCTGCACAATGGCTTGCTTCCAACTAGCATGGCGTAAACTAGCTTCCTGAATCGCACTTCAAAATTTTGTTGCTTCCATCTACTTATAGGCTAGCCCAATCGGTATCACGCACCTGCGACGGATACGTGAGTAGAGAACCCTACCGTGCAGGATACCTACGGCGTAAGTGGAAGTAGGACTAAGTGCTGATCTACCGCAGGTCTCCGCGCATATCCGTGATTGCGAATTTATCGAAATCAATCAACTAACTGCGGTGTGGCAAAGAAGAACAGTGGTGACAATGACTGGGACCACTATTAATTGTTGACTAACTACGGTGTGGCAAAGTAAGAAGAACATTGGTGACAATGACTTGGACCACGATGACTTGTTGACAAATTGCAAGAATCGTTGATACAACATAACGGAACTAAGGGAATTGCGGGATCGAATTTCGAAGTATCTAAGTAAGCAAATTAATTTCTCACGTGGGAAACTGTTTGCCTTTTGAGACACGGCAGTTAAGCTGCGTCCAACTCACGTCTATAGGAGAGAGGTAACACGCTTATTTCACCACTCGCAGAGTCCAAATCCGAGTGCAGCTAAGGCTGTGCACCGTTCTGAGTTCCGATTGGAGCAGAACTCATATCCAGTGCTTGTCGCTTCACTAAAGACTAACGTAAATAACCACAGTAAAATAAAAGGTCCATTGAAATCTACGTCATACAGACGTAAATGTCTTTCTTCAATCTACTCAACGAAGTTTAATACTGTGACATCCCCTAACAAAACTGTAATGTTAACTTTGGGCCACGTCTTCTATGCCTTTGTCTGCGACTAGGATCGTTCACGGAAGTCGGGCTTTTAGTCCTAAGCTCTATTGCCATTGATGGCTACAATTTCCGAACAAGATGGACGCTTTTCAACTAATGGACACGATATTTTTAGTTGACTCTGAATAGCAAACGTCATTCTGAGATTCCATCATAGCATATTTCACTACAGTTACAGAGCACGAAAGAAGATTCGAATATTTTATGCGTCCAGAGCCGGAAAGCCTCTATGTCACTGTCTAAACACTCGAAACACGTCCTAATAGGTCAGTGTAACTCCAAAAATGCAGCGTAATATGTTTTTTCAATTTATTTGTGTTTCCGCGGAAGAAACATTTGAAATGGTTGCCGAAAATCGGTCTTTACAAGTTAGTTCCATCATGATACCAGCGGAAAGGGAACATTTTGCGTGGGTTACTGTTTTTTCTCACTCCTGACTCTTTAGGGAAATGAAGCTACAAGAGGCTATCAAATCTACCAACTTGCGTCTATCCACAGCTTCAGCACTTTCTACGTACACAAACTTTTCAGCCTGTTGTGAATCCCATTGATTCAGCCTCGATTTGGTGGTTCAAGTTCATATAATTTCTGTCCACATATTTTGATTTGATTGCTCTTAATTTCAGAATTCAACTGTTGGTAATCTAGACTATTCTGGGAAATATCTGCATTCTGAAACGCTTCACTTCGAGATATCTCCGCCCTTCTCCAGTGGGAGACAGTCCTGGTAATAGGCGTACTATTAATAAAAAAGATAAAACAAATTTTGACAGTTAGATTTGCTTATTCAAACACTTTATCATGCACAAGGAAACGCTTTCAAAACGAAGCGGTGTACATAGGAATTTAATATGGAGATCATAAGTTTTTGTTATGATCATGATAGAGCTGCAAGGTCCCAGCGAGCCACCATTAAACACTTATCTGCCCAGTCGCTGGGTCGCAAAGTAGCCGCGTTTGTATAGCCGCATGAAACGACGAAACGCTGGAACATAGTCCTCCACATCGTCGTCATACAATTCACGATCATGTTCATTTAGGGACGCTTCACCCTGAGGTGGACGAGCCTTGACCTGTACAATTCCAGCCGTCAGCACAGTGAGAAACATGACCACATAAAGCAGGTGTGTTGATCTCAAACAGTTCATTTTTAGCTAGAAAATTCAAAAGTAAATTAATTATATATATGACATCCAAATGGAATGAATAAATGTCATGCTCTGAAAAAGGACTTTATGCGGGAACCTTCGTTTTTCCAGCATGGATACTGTATCTCTTTCACCTATCAAACGGCGCCAGAAATACGGGAGTCAGTTAGCTCAAACGTCATTTACAAGAAAGCATTATTTCTTCTATAGTTGTCATTGTTGTTGTTTGGAAATTACTTTTCCGAATTGCGAGTCAACGTTGTCTTCCGCCGGTCTGCTAGATTCCAAATCAAGTCTTTTGTGGAATCTTCATTCGAAGTTGACACGACATTAATTTTCAAATTAACATGCAATCACTGTCTTGCGTCCAAACAAAACGGCGCACTATTTTGTGACACTGAAGGAATTCGAAGACTTTTGATAAACGCCAATTTACTTTGCCGCTGAAAAAGGTAACAAGTGGCTTTAAGAATGGATGGATCGGCTTTCCCGAACTTTTCGGTCACATTTTGTGTCGCATTGATTAAGACTCCTCAACTTAGCACTCACACCGGCCAACTATGAGATTGTATGTATGATTTTAAGCAATCCGGAAGCTTCCTTCTTAAGAGTCCTCTAGGGCTTTATGATACGCAGGTGGTAAAGCGCAACTTTTTAATTCAGTCGTCTATGTGTTACTATTTGAAACTTTTCAACCACAATCAAATGATGCTATTTTCTAAATAATGTCTAATACTTCAAAAATACGCCACTAAATTCGCTTTGTAACTAAGTTATGTAATTGCTGCCTGCCTGGTTTCAGTACCTCTCAAATGAATAGACTGCAGGCTTGTATGCTTTCTTGATAATAGTTACTAGTGATATCACGAAAATAAATTTGCACAGCGGAGTTAGACAAAACTGTCTATAGAAGGGAAATTGACTCACCATCTGCTTCTCCGAGCAACACTTTTCAAAACTATGACTGTCTAAAGGAAAAAGCCAGGTTTTCCGCTTTTATATTACTTACTTGCTCAGATTTGAGCATATGATTGGTCAACCTGATGAATGCGAGTCAGTTCCCTTCCGAATAGCACAGGTTGTTGCCCATCCAATCGTGTACCTGATTTCGAAGAAAGCGTATAAACCAAAGCATCGTTCAAATGTTTGTTTAAAAACACTTTACGATCGCTAACAGACGATTTGTTCGTCTGTACACAACAGGTGACTATTTGAAGGAGGGACTTGTAGTGTTTCAGGCCATTTGTCTACCTGGAACATTAATTTCCGGGTAAAAGAACTATCTCCAACGAGTATACCATCCCATCTGCGCATCCACGACTTCACATTTTTATGCAAAATCTTTTTTAACAGATTGACCTCCAAAGGCAGAAATTTTGGGCTACCTTTTGCCTGTGAAACGTTGTTAATTCCTGTCACAGATGGAGTGAATTAGACAAATGCTGGATTGATTTCATTGCACCTGGGGAGACAAGTTTACCCCTTTCGCACTTTTTCACGACAGGGAAAAAAATTCTACTTCTTGGAAGACTTACAACTCGGGCTTTTCAAATAACGTCAACATTAATTTTGATTAAACATTCTGTGGTGACAAAAACTTGCGACGGTACTGTCAAGATTTTTTTCGTACAATTACTGAGCGGATAACTTTCTTCAGAACTCTTATCAGTTAGGTTCTAATCCTATAGATATGCCATACAAAGTCTATAACTTTAACTTATCACTCCTTTCACTCTAAAACCGCGGCATTTAAATGGTGTTCGCGTCGGTACCCCGGTACTCTAACAGTAGTGACACTGACAAGCTAGAGGCCTTTAGAGAAAATTTAGTAAACGATTGTTTTCCAGGGTTCAAAGCAATCTGTTGAAAATAATTTCTCCATTTACTTGGATGGTCCGAGTTAGGTTTTTTGAAGTAAAACCTCTGTTAGTTCGTTCAGTTTGAAGGAATTTATTCTATGTTTTGCTAACAGAAGGACGCTTCGGCAGACAGCACATTTCCAACATTCTCTCGTAATTTATTTTGCTTGTCTCAGGACCTTCTGGACAACACAGTTTCAAATTCGGCAAACCATGCAGAAGGCAGCCACTTCAAGTGCTGCCGCGACAATTCATTTCGTATAAAATCATCAGTCTCAACACCTGTAAAACAAACTAAAACGAAACCAGTATAACCCTAACGTTCTTACGAGCACACACTACAGCCTTGAATCCAGTATTCATTATTGTTTCAAGTGACTTCAGCGGTTGTGATGAGCTGTTTCGTGGTTTGTTTTAGAATGAATAGCTGATTCATCTCAGCAAACCATCTTAACTAGGGGCCTAATGATGGATTATTTGACACTGGGCACATTGAAAATGAAACTTCCAATAAACAACATGTGTAGAGTCAGTGGTTTGTTTTTAGTCGTCTTCATAGCGTTCGTTTGGTTGTAGCAGCAAATAAATGCCTGTAGCTGCAGCTGCGTTTATAAACTCGAGGATCTTTGGGGAGACTGACGGTATATATTGTCGGCTTCAGTGTGTGCTTTGACATTCAGTTGTGCGTCACTTTACGCGTAGTTTAACCTTCGTTTGCCGTTGATTGGGCGCACAACCACCAGTATGGCAAACTCCTAAGTAGATAGGCTTCTTCCCCACAGTGGTTTGCGTCCGTATATCATATCTTCGAAAGTCTCACTCACCGGAACACTCAAGTTAGTTTACCACAGCACATTTTGGAGCTTTTCACACTCCTCAACTGGTCTGTCTGGAGTGCGAATCAGTTTTTCGGTAGGGAATAATCCGAACTAATATATTTTTGTACTGTACAAGACAGAAATTTGTAAAATTTAAGTCCTAACTTTGGTGTCTTTGGTGTATCGTCGGTCATTCTTGTGTTCGGAGCATCCAATGAAGAAACTTGGTTTTCTGTTTCAAACTCGCAAACAAAACACAACTCGGCGGAATGTGTAATAAACGAGAGCAGATCGTCGTTCGTTTTTCTATTCTTTGTCACTATTATCGTCCATACAAAAGTGAACACTGAGAATCATTTTTACCGACTGCTCGAATTTTGCCATAAAACCGCCAGTCTAGAGTGACTCTCTTGGGGGAAACTCGCTTTTTTCCTCCACCTAGTTCATAAAAATTTGATATTATCGGTACAGACTAAACTGAATTTTTGAGAATTGGAATGAATAGGTCAACCATAATCATTTGTGCCTCCGTGTGATCTCGCAAACACATCAAGTTTCTTTACTGGGGACGTTGGTGCGAATTGATCGCAGATCAAACAAACACATGATGCGCAGACAGGTAATTGTGTGTTTAAGGCATGGAGATTCTTGCATTTTTCAGCGATTGACAATAAATCTTCGGGCAAGTCTAATGATATCAAGAAGCTAACGTTTCTCTGTTTTTCAGCATAGAGCGACCCCACTGACAAAACGAAATCAAAGTTGATAACTGATGATAAGTCAAATCATTCGTAGCTAAAATAGAACGAACAGGTCTACGTGGTTTGTGCATTTTTAAGATAGTTCAGCTAAGATCATGACAACGTACATGCTTTCTCGTATCAAGTTAAGACCAAACGGGACGTGTGAATAACCAAAGTCGTGCTTGCCCACCAGAGTTACCGGGTAAACCTGGGCAAAACTTCGGATGTATCAGACAGAGGCGCAATCATCTTGGACACAATATCCAGTTTGTTGCAAATGTTCGAATTCCTCTCCTGCTTTCAGGGTACAGTATCGTTACCCTTCATTGGATCGGGGAGCACTTTTACATGACTTTTTCGCGGACCACGTTTAGTTTGCTTTGAGCACCTCTCACACAACTATGCGATCAATTTTCGGGGGCTTGATTTCAAAACTAAGCCGGGTGACGGCGCTTTCGTTCAAAAGGGCAAATATACTAGCCGAAAACCACAAATCGTATCCGTATTTTTCACAGTCTCCTGAAATTCGTCATGCCATTAGGACTATGTGTGAGCAGATGTGAAGTGTCTGGTTGACAAACCCTGTACAAATGTGTTAATGCTTGCAAAATCGGTATGAATCGGTCTTGCGTTTCAACTAATGGTATTCTGAAAATACACACCCACACATTCACGCTAAAAACACCTTCAGTATCGTTCATTTTGCAACACCTAAGATGGTCTCTTTCCATTCAGCTTCTCTTTAACTTGACTTTGTGTAAATATCAACTCTATGCAGACATCGCCCCTTCACTTTATGGTCCTTAGTTCTGATTCTAGTATGATTTCGTTCCTTTTTATTCCAGGGAACGTTCATTTGCTTTCAAGTCGCAGGAATTAGTGTTTCTACACACGTTCGTGAGGATCACATGAACAACCGTGTTTCACAAAGCCTAGTGGTTGTCATCACCTTCGACAGAATGTCTCACAAAATTTGACGGGTTTTTAAGTCATGATGTTTGAATTCTTCTTTGACAAAGGAGGGATGGACCAAAAATTTCCCCACCATAGATCAGATTAGGCGAGTGGTCTACAATATTGCCTATTTTCTTTCCAAAATTTATTCGGATCAGACTCGTGTGGTCCCAGTACAACTTTGGTGGTTAAATGGCTAGTTTTGATACATTAGGAATTTTACGGATCACTCACGTCACAGCCATAAAGATTGCGCCCATATGCAGTCTAGTTCCGTTGCACACTAAAGTTGCTTTTTTGAGAGCATCATCTGTACTATTGTATTGACTTCGAGATCACCGGAAAAATTAATGTCCAATCTGGTTGGCTCTAATGAAATATGGACGTCAGTTTCGAGGAAGAAACTGCAGTAGCTAAACTTCGTTAGTTATTCCTGCTCTCCCGCAAGTGTGACCACCAAGCAGCTGATACGGAGTACAAATCCGCTGACAAATGGTAGGATATGCATGACACTAGTATACTTGCTGGTGGTTATGAAACGAGTTGATCAGGGTAGTTAGGACAAATCAGGTGTCGTAGCGTCGAAGAAACCGTTTACCGCTTAAACCACGGTGACCAAATCCAACTTCAATGGATTGGTTTTGAAATAACCAATAATAGCCAAAGAAGACAGTGTGTTCATGGAAATATACGCGGGCCAACCAGAACTGACCTACGGCAGTAGTCGGTGTCATTCAAAGGAAGCGAATATTCACACATCAAATCGGATTATGGTTTGGGACAATCCAGGGAGGACCGAGAAGAGTTAGCAAGGGCCAGAGAATAAAGCTAAGCACATTGAGAATGTGCTTTACAAATATTTTTGTCCAGAGAGTGCCAGTTCTCCATTGGAAATATTTCCCGCACTAGGTAATTGTCTTCGTTGGTCTCGTGGATATATACTCAAAGGAAAATAACCGTTCCGAAGAGATGCTGTACTATAGAGTTTCCAAAAACAACCACAATACTGACTAATCCTGTGACCGATTCCCTAATGCAGCACGGTCTTGGGCAGAAGGGCGGAAATTGATAAACATCCCGATTGGAGCGGTTTCCTCAGGTCCAGTAATTAAGTGGGTTACTGTTTTTCACAAAAGCATGTATAGGAAGGAGAAGCTTGAACGCGTCGAATAATTTGCCCCGTGCGTTACTGTTGTTGATACCTAGTGAATTGGGTCAATGGCTTGCAAATAGAGGCTTGTTCACTATGATTTACATAAAAATGGAACTATTTTTCTGTATCACTCGATTATATCCAGCTGAAGCGTTCAGGATTCCTTATCCGGTTTATCATTTTCCATACAATTTTCTTCCTCAACAGCCTCTACATTTTGGAAGAAAGTGGTTTTTGTGGAGGTAATAAAAGACCAGTTCCTCTTATTGCAATTTGAATGCCTCAGTGAGAAAGAGGGAACAAATATGGTAATCAGGTCTGCTTATTCACATAATTTGTCGTGCTCAAAGAATCAAGTGCGAAACAATGCGGTGTATTTTATGGTTTAACGAAGGGATCAAAAAAGTCTGTTACAATGCTGGTGAAGTCGCAGTGTTTCAGAGAGCCAAGGCTGAGCAACTATCTACCCAGTCGCTGCGTTGAAAAGTAGTTCCTTTTGT